CTAGCGTAAAATAGCAGCTTAAGAAGATATCATGCTCTCCAATAGATGGCGTTATATCAATAAATAATGCCGCTTCAGATTGAATTCCGGCTACGAACATTCTTAACGGAGACTAGATACATCTACGCAGGACAGGATTATAGCGTACGGGTGTGCGCAAGCAGAGGTACATTCTGTAGTCCCTCACAGTCCAACGGGACGGTACTCCGACACAACTTGAGAGAGATCAGATGTGGGAGCTACGGCTTCACAACCACTAGATCCTTGAGGTAGTAGGTTATGACACCTTAGGGTTCTTTTTCGTATGTATTTTATGCAATATCCTCATCAATTGTGAATTACTTTTAATGACTTTTTTTTATAAATTAGGTTATATCTCAGGGGTGATCCTATACAAAATTTGGAAAAAAATTCACCCCCAAGGGTGACACAATATTTTTACAAGATGCTAGTTGTTACCTTGAGCTTATGATTTTCCTTAGTTGTCTCAAAAGAGATCAAAAAATTTTTCAAACAAACTGGCCCACTTCAGGGAACAAAAAATATTAAATAATTTCCACACAACTGCTTCTAAAGTCATGGCTTGTCTGTGTACAGAAGCTATTATTATTAAGATAATTTTATTTATGTCCTACTAATTAAATAACTACTGAAATAGCATTAGTAAGCTGAAGTGGCAATGGGTCCACCATAGAGATTGAAGAATCGACAACTAATGGGGAAGAAAGGTTCTCGAGTGGCTGCCGCGTACCGGTAGGCGAAGTGTGGGGCGGCCTCGCACTACATGGAATGACAACTTGGTCATGCAAGAAGTCAATGGATGGGTAGCTCAGGACCATGCTTTAAGGCATTCTTTGGGGGAGAGCTATGTTCAGCAGTGGACTTGTGAAGGGCTGTAATGATGATGATGATTAAACGCCTCTTATATTTCAAACGGGGTTAGGAAGCAGTCAGACAGTCCCACTGTTGCAGTGCAATTTGGACTCTGATTTCAAATGACTGTAAATTACTTTATTTATTAGAGATGCAGATTTCGAGTCAGCATTTTCCTTCACAGCAGAGTGTGTGGTTAATCAGCACTTATAAAGACTGTAACTAACTTTCAACAATTATAATAAGCAATTTCCTTAATGCCAACATGTTTAGACTCGGCTGCTTGCATTTTTACATGGTATAGCCAACACTGCAGCTATATTATGGTTGTAGCAAGAATCAGCTCGACAGGCTCTGCATCTGCATTTTGATTCCTAATCAAGGCCAGATGTAGATGTCTATGAACCACAGCATCCACTTACTTTCAGGTGGAATGTGTGCTTGTTTGTCTCTACTATAATATCCTCGATATTGAATTTTGGTCAATGAAGACTAGCCATTTATGCAGTAAGTGTGTGTGCTAGCAAAGGTGCACTCTCTATTCCCCCACTTTCATAGTCCAATGGGACAGTAATCTGACACAACTGGAGAGAAATCAGTTGCTGCATCTACTGCTTCACAATCACTAGACCAACAAGTTAGTGGGTTACTATGAAACCTACATCAAGCGATTTACCATTAAACTATTCAAATTTCACTGTGAGTAAATTGCTTAAGGAAAGAAACGGACTCCATTTATATGTCTATCCAATGAAATAATACATTCAGTACAATTTGCTTCAAAGTAACATCATATTTTACTTGTTAGTTTTATCGCTATAAGATATAGCTTGTGTAGTACTAGACACAAAGACTAATCTAATGCAGTTCAAACTCTTTCAAACTGTTTAAGCTAAACAAAGACACAAATGAACAGACACAAACATACATAACTCTCCTTATGAGGCATCATGACAAATCATTAGACAATTTTCATACTATTATATAAATTATTGTAAATGTATGATTCATAGAAATATGAAAAAACTATGACAGTTTGTATATTTGACTCATATTATGTGTATGATCCTATTTGACAACATGCTGATTAAAATGATCATATATAACCTCAAAATAGGGACAGAAAAAGTCATTGAAATGCAAGACATTTGTGTAGAACATTCATCATTATCATTACAGCTCTTCACAAGTCCCTACCCAAGGAATGCATTAAGCACGGTCCTGAGCTACCTGTATGAATCAACTTCCTGGATGTCTTACCAGGTCATCGCTCCATCTAGGGGGGAGCCGCCCTACACTTCGCTTACCTGTACGAGGCTGCCACTCGAGAACTTTTTAAAAAAGAAAAAAAGTTTCCCGAGTGTAGACCATTGAAATGACAAAATTGTAGATTATCTATGCTTTGAAAAATATTGACTCACTTTGTTAAAATAACAGGTGCTCGCCCACCCATTTGAAGATATTATGTTTAGTAAGAATTTTCATTTTCTGCTCACAATTCTCTGAGTAAAGTATCCCTTTTCCCGAACATTGACCTATTGAAAATCTGACACAATTATGTCATCTTCTTTTACCTATCTTCTAAGTCATTTTCTTTAATAACATGTGGTAAAATGTAATTTTACATACACATTCATCACATAATAAAATAGTCTAATTGAGAACCACCACCTCCTTTTCTTGAAGTTGGTTGAAAACTAAAGCATTTATTATAACAGTAGCTATAGCTGGTGTTTATACAACCATATTGTTGATTATCTTGAGTGAATATTAAGATTCCATTTCCATACAAGTGTAATATGTATACATTTAACTAATAAAAACTAACATAAACTATGATTACCTTAAAAGGAAAATATTTTTAATTGCATTAATACAAAATAGTTAACTAGGTATACGTACGAGGGAGGCACTGAAAATTTTGGGAATCAAGGAAGTGACACAACATTACTATTTAAAAATGTATTTATTGCTTTTCGAAGTATTCTCCGCGAAAAAGGCGTGTGGACGAAAATCTCTGTCCACGCAATTTATTCTTTATTTTAGGGAAAGTATAGAAATCATTAGGGTTTAGGACGGGGCTGCATGGTGGATGGTCTAATAATTCTGTTTTCTTGCTCTAAAAACTCTTTTGTTCTGTGTGCGGTGTGAGAACTCGCATTGTCGTGATGGAGGATGATGCGGCGGTTGCAGTTCCCTTTACGGAGTTCAGAAACGACCTGTGGCAAACAAATGCTAGCATACCATTCTACATTAACCGTTCTTTGTCCCTCAAGAGGAATAGTCGTAACATGGCCGGTTTTGGAGAGAAACGTGGCCACCATTTTTTTTGCAACACTCCATGAACGAACAATTTTTGTTGGCTTTAGCTCATTTTTGAACACCCAAACTCGTGACTGGTTTTTTGTTTCGGGTTCGTACGCGTATATCCAGGATTCGTCACCTGATACGATGTTGTATATAGCATTTGAGGATCCTGCGTGGAATCTTTCGAGAGTTCTGACGCACCAAGTAACGCGAGCCGCTTTTTCCTCTTCACAGAGCGAATGCGGTATCCATCGGGAAAACAACTTTTTTACACCTAATTGTTCATGCAAGATTATTGGTATTTGACTCATGCCAATGTCTAAAGTTGCTTGAATTTCGCGGTATGTCACATGTCGATCTTCCTCAATGAGCTTACGCACAGCATCAACGTTTTCTTGGGTGACTGCAGTTTTTGGACGACCTTGACGGGGATCATCACTGAGCTTGACACGTCCACGTTGAAATTCAGCAAACCAGCGATAAATTGTGGTTTTGGATGGGGCTTCATCACCAAATGCAGAAATCATCCGGTCTACACAGTTTTTGTGTTAAACCACTTCGAAACTCTAAATAAATCATTGCTCTTGAATTTTCTCGAGTCAATTCCATTTTCTCAATGACTAAACAAGTTTGACAAAATCTTGTGAGAAGACCGAGAATCTTTTTTTAAATAAATAAATGGTATACGATTTTTAAAACCAAGGGGTTTTCAATTAAAAAGATTTTAATATGACAGGAACAATGGAAATATTCCATTCCCGATACTTTTAGTGCAGCCCTCGTATTAATATAAACATAGGTGCTACACACAGTACCCTATGCAGTGCATGTATGAGGGAGGAGGAAACTGCAGCCCACATGTTGCTGGTGTGTCCAGTGGTCGCTGGATACAGAGCTTAACATATTAGCACACCAACGTAACTAACCAACTTTTAGACAAAATCAAAGCACTGCTGAACATCTTCAAGGAGATTTCGTAGCTCGAATAATCACAATATTCTGTCCACATGTAAAATATGCACTTAGGTGAGTTGTTGAAAATAGCCCCTTGTAAACTGCACTTAACTATATTGTATTAAACTGTTTTTTTTTATAAGATATTAGACTTTTTTTATTTAAATAGGTTTCATGGTGTTATTTTTTTTTCTTAGACTGACTTTTAGCAGATATATTATTCTTGTGTTATATTTGCTTGTTTATAAATTCAGTAACATCGGTCAATACAGTGTATCAAAATTTCACAGCAGAACTTACGCCTCCTCCATTGTTTACCTCATAGGGGGATATTTGCCATAGTTGCCACACTTGGCAACCACTATTTTTAATTATTATTAAGTATGAGGAAGATGCTGCTGATTGTCCATTTCAGTATCCCTCTGTCGCCACTTACAACACCCACAAGATGATATGGGGTAGTGGATATTCTTACACCACCACTGCACAGTCAATCTCGTGGGTATAGCTTTTTCTGGCTATATATAATTTTTATTTGAAGAGTGTTTCTATGCTCTAAAAGTTATTCCGCAACGCTATTGATAAACAATTCCTTCTATAAATATATACATACAAATTGTACACTAGGAAACTACTACAATGCTATAAGGTTGAAAGTCGCTTGCGCCTCTAAACTTCGTCACGTGAAGAGAATACAGACATTATTAGTTATTTTCATATAACGCCAAGGAAACGACACGCAACTCGATTTATGCGCGATCGTTCGGAGTACTGGCGATGCATCACGTACTACAGCGTAGCTAGTACGTGATATGTGGCGAGTATAAAGCAAGTTGTAGAAATTGAAAGGCAAACTTCACAATTACCTGTAATTTTGTTCGTAGTCCCAGTATTCTTTGTAGCGCGGGTGCCAGCGCGGGCCGCCGCGCGGAAACGGCCGTCTAGAGCCCCCCTGACTCATGCTTGATGCGCCATTCCAAATCGTATCGATCCGTACAACCACCACAAAAGCAATCTCCCGCCTCGACACGAACACAAGCACACACAAAATCACAGTATCACTACACGCGAACACTATTCCGCAAGAAATAAATGTAAAATTGTGGGATTTTAACACTGGAGTCTCACATAGAATGTTTTGAAAGCGACTGCCATGACGCGAAGTTGGCGCCGACTGAAGCGCAAGCTACGTCAGGAAAAACGACCTCTGGTGCCCAATCCCAGCGTCGCTTGCGAAAACGACCGCCAAATCGCTTAAATATTTTATTATAATTATTAAACTGTTCACTAATTACACTTGCATGTAGTCTTTAAATGAAGTAATGATAAATTGTAAAGTACTAATTTACGATACCAATATTGAAAAAAGAGACGCTTTTGAGATTAGGCACTCTAAGTATTGATTTTATATTAAGGGCAACGTTAGCAAACATTGTTAAGATGCATGATTAAATAATTTATAAAGGGAAATGTATCAATTGAAAGGCGTCACCGTGCACTTGATAATGTTCGTCATATATAATTAGTGTGCAGCAGTAGATAATTTAGCTTTGATGTTACGCACTGAGAAACAATTCCATATAAGCACAAAACCATAAAACGCAACGTTCAAAACATTTTAATGTAGCAGTCAAGTAATGTAACACTGAAACTTCGCAGGAATTAAGAAAAAAATCTAATAAATCAAATATAACACGACACTCCGTTCGATCTAAATACAATACGTAAGCGTAATAAAAAAAACTTTACACAATCACAACTAGTCTTCTATAGACCATCAGCAAACCACTGCTTTAAAGTATATTATCCTAAACCAAAATAAAACTCCACGTTTAATGTCTGAAGCGCTACAGCGCTATAATAAAAATTTGCCCCGCCCATTGTTATTATAATGCAGCCAACATGACGCATACTAATGACGTGAAGTGAGTTGAAATTTATCCTTATCTCTTTGTCTTTGGTCTCTTTCTGGTCAAAGAGTAAAACAAAAACAAACCTATACATATATTATATTACAACAGTAGAAATGAGGTTTTTGTTATTCCTATTTATTTATATATTATTATTTGCTTGATATGGGATATGGCGTGTATAATAAAGTACTCTGTAGATATCGCACTGGTAACTACAAAGTAATAAGAAGTACTAGCTGATTAGTAACTAATGCCGTCATTTGATTACAAACAAGTATATATTCTCGTACTTTATACAACTCCTTATACTTTTTTGCAATATTACACTTTATCTTAAAACCTCTATTTTAGACATCGTATCATCATTATCTTAAATACAGTCCATCGCTTAACTACTGCTAAAAATAGACCGCCTGCCGAAGGAATGCCATGAAGTTTTCTTCACAAATTCCTGAAGACAAATGGCCTTTGATGATTATCTTAAATCTAAATAATAACACCCAGGCGAAGCCGGGGCGGCTCGCTAGTTAATAGCTATATATAAATTAATTTTTTGGCTTGTAAACTCAGACGAAGCTATAGCTACAGATGTAGCCTTTGCTAGGTTGGTTTACTTTAGTTACTTTCAAAGTATTTATCATTATGACAAGCTATAGTATTTTATTATAAGACATGTAGCTGGTGGTAGGTGGCTAGGTGGTAATACTATTTTTATTTTGCAATATTTGTTTTTGTTATTAAAAAAGCATAAATCACATTTTTTCTATATATTGTCGTTCGATTCGAAATTCGACCCGAACAGACATAGGTACACGAAAGCGAGTTAGTAAGAAGTTAATAAAAATAAAGTGGCAACAAAAGAGCAGTGCGCTCTATTTATAATTGGCGCACCATTCTTTTCATTTCCATTATGCCTTTATACATAATCTATAATCTTTATTTGCAAGAATATTATGGTTATACAATGGTGTTCAAGTACAGTGTGGACATCCACGTCTTTTTTTGCCACTAGTGCGGCGCCACTTTGCAATGAGGTGAAATATTTGACAGATTTCATACCGGGGAAGATAATTTCTTAGGAAAATGTAAAGGTATTCTGTATCATTAGTTATATTTTATATTAATTAGATAAGAAACGTTTAAACCAAACTATGGATATAACTGAAAGTAGAAAAATTAAAAAAAGAATTAAAAAGTGCAGAAAATTAGAGATCAAACCACTGAGGCATGGTTTTGTGTATTAATATAATACTTCAGCATTATTTCAGCCCCTGAAGACTAAGATGGAATGCCTCGTTTCCAATAAAAAGGGTCTCCTGTTCCCTACATTCACCATATGAAACACAGCAGCTTTAAGATGCTTTTTTACGCTGGTATTATGTGAGAGCGTGGTCCTACCTGGTTGAGCCGACCCATTCGTGCTACAACCATAATATAGCTTCAGCTTGGCTCTACAACGTAAAAATGGTAACAAAATCCAAACTTTAAACTAAGAAAAATAAATAATTCCTCATATCCAGTAAAAAGGGTCTCCGGTTATCTACACACCTCTCCTCCTGTGTAATTCCTGCGCACACACTCATTACCCAGAGTCGTTTGAGACCTTAGAGTATACATAAGCAAGCTATGCTAGACTTTTTTCACCACTACATTTTAATAACAATTAGCGATCCTTTCCGATTTAGCACGGGTGATTTCTGGATCCCGATAACAGCACCACCTAGTGGTGCAATTCTAAATCTAAACCATACAGGGACCCACTCGAACACACAAAGAATTTTATCAAAATTGGTCGAGCCATTTTCGAATTTATGCGAGAATAACGGACAGCAATTGATTTTTATATATAGAGTAGAGATGTAAAATAAAAATAAAATAAAATATAATAATAATCTATGGTGATTGGTGACCCACAAATGCTTGAAATATTACGATTTAAACAAAAACAATAGAGATATCGCTTAAAACAATTAGCTTGCAACTAAACAAATAAGGAAACTTGGACTTTAAATTTTTTTATTATCGACATGGTCGTATAAAAATTTTTTTTTGGTTTTTTATACCTCCATGATAACCCATCTCTCAGATTATAGATAACTATTTAAATATTAGGTTGGCATGGATGCTTAGCAATACCTCGTTTTGTCAGGCACCTTGAAGGCGTTCGCAAGCAACTCGCAAAAGTTTCATCACCGTAATCGGGTGAAACTTTTGCGAAAAAACAAAATTGCCTCAGACAATGCGACTCGCGCGATCCTCCCCACCCTCCCCCCACTACCGCAGCCTACGAATTTGGAGTAGGTATATTATAAAAAATGCAGACATACGTATTTTAAATAGCTAGTCTCAAAAATATTAATTATTCAAACTGCACCTTATAAATAAGAAATGGGTAAAGATCGCTCGATATAACTTCAAATAATTAGAATTGGGTTCTAGTACGTATATATGTACATACTTACTTCAACTACTTTTTAAAGATTTTGAAAAACTTCGTAAAAAAAATCTATTTTAATTTAAAACTAATTGAAACTACTTTAAAACTAATTGAAACTACCTATGCCGCGTTTAATTTTGTAAAATTACTCAAGTACCTATATCTATCTAGATTAACAACCATTATGAATTGGGTTTTGCCGACAAGTCACTTTCTATGAGTAGGTATGTACTTAGTTTTAATATGTTGTCTTGTGGAATGCACGTGAGAATTTTACGATACGCAAAAAATATCGTATTGTCTGTGTAGTCATAGACTTAGTGTGTAATTTAGGGACAGGTAGCGTCATCTATTGAGAAGTTCCTATATCAAAAACAACTAGTCCACTTTAAAAATATGTAAAGCCGGCAATACATGTTGGCCAAGCCTCAACCAACGCAAGCGCAGGAAAATAGATATAAGGCGAGTGCTACAGTCTACAAGTTGACCAGGTTTGAATGAGTGAACATACTGACATGGCCAACTAACATGTGGACGCGACTTGCCGAGTGTAGGCGAGCGCCTTTGATTTGTCCAGAAAAGCCGACACTGTTCCGAAGTGAGACGAATCGAGGCGACCGATCTCGAGTGGTGGCAAGGCACGCCAAACGAATCTATACACGTTGGCTCTCGCTTGAATTCGGCCAGCTAGACGAGCGACAACGAGCAATGGCGAGGCTAGGCATATGTTCTGTCCCAGCATATTCTAAGTCTATGGTTGTATCCATATGCTGATACTCGCCTTCGCTCGGTCAACAAGTATAGCCGGCTTAATTTGCATTTATCTTACTATATTATATATACAGAATGTCCCAGTAATGGTGAATAAACTGGTACGTGTTCGGGCGGGGGGAGGCGGCCTCTTTTCCCTAAAAAAAATTCTACCCCGAAAGGTTCGCGCTCTACGCTATGTTTTATAAAATTCCGAAAATTCGTACTTCTGCTCACATTTGTGGTCATCACGTCCACAGTTTAATGCCTAGATCGGATTTTTTTCTTTTAATGTGTCAGCATTTCCCTACAAAAAGTAACTCGTGCTGGGTTACTTTTTGTTGTTGAAGCGTTTGCACACGTGTAACCGTAATAAGGGTGAAGTCTCCATTGTTTGAGAATCTGATGTGCTGTAGCCCGAACACGTACGTACCAGATTATCCACCATTACTGGGCTGTATATATATAGCATGGCGGTCGCTAATCAGCTGGTTCTAGTTCTAATCTAATTTACCTGACTCATAGATAGCAGAAGCAAAAGAGTCCAAAAGGGAGACCTTGGTCGTTAATTTAGACCTAGCAAAGGCTTTCGATGGGCTGGCGCGCTTACCGCTCAAAATAACTCATTTGTCGTATCTTCTCAATTTCAGGACACTCCCTATACTGCCTCAGCCAGCAACGGAACCCTCTGCATCGACATAACTAATGACAGTTCTGCGGTCACTTGGAAGGTAAGGCCAATTTAGCCTCTGAAAAGCTTGACGTGCTCAGCAGACCGGGACAGTATTTCATGCTGGCGCCCTGTAAATTTGCAAGCGGTGTGCTTGACGGAAATAAAAAAAACGTGCACGTGTACTTATG